AAATTAGTATCATACATTATATTGAAATCATTAAGATTGATAATTTCGTTTAAGTGATACTAAATCAATAAATCAATATATATATATATATATACACACACACTTACTATATTAATATCATTAAAATTTCTTATTTAGAAATTACTCATTAAAATGATATAATCAGTATATATATTTTGTATTGCTATTATATACTGTACATCCCTTTCCACTTTTCTCAAGTACTCTTGCTTATAAAAGTTTTATTCCTAGTTGATTGAGATTTGTTATAGGTGTTGTTGTGTCTACCAATTAATCTTTGAATTTTGTGCATTTGATATAGCTTTCAATGGCCAATCAATAAAGTTGGAAAGGGGGACTTTTCCCAACTTTAAAAACAATCTACATCAATGTCCTTATAGGTAGAATTTATGGCTAAAAGTTTAGTAAAATCTAGTAAAAGAAAAATATAACTAAAACACTTCAACTCGGATTCATCGTGTGTCTCGTGGTCACTTGATGATCAATGCTAACATGACATATAAAATTTTAAAAATTTTTATCATGCAAATGACTATTTTGTAAATTATAATATTCAACTAACATAATAAAAATAATTTAAAGTATTTAGATGCACAGTCTCAAAATTAAAGTGTTTATATATTAGATGTGGCTAAATTTGAATGTATATTTGATGTTGCTAAGATGATAAGTTAATAAAAGGGTTATATTTACTCTCATATTTTTCAGCTTTTAGTTTGTCCTTCCCTTTTTTTCCTTGTTTCTATGCAACCATATAAATTTTCTAATGTTATTTGTGGCTACCAAAAATCCTATTTTGCTCCTTTAAAATTGATTCTAAAAAGTTTATGTTTTACGTATTTTCTTTTCTTGACTAATTTTATGCATGTTAAAGATAACATGATAGTTTTAATATATGATACCAGTAATTAGATTATAATAAATATAGTTATGTTTTTATAAGAAATAGTCAAAACTCATAGAAAGTATGAATTTGACTATACAATATATTTTGTTTATTCCTGAGCTATACACTGAGTCACTAACTATAAATTATGCTAAACTCAAAAAATTGAATATAGTTTGACTATAATATGAAGTATACACTGACTATTTAATTTTAATCAATTCAAAATCACCTTTAAACGGTCTAAAAATTTTAAATATGAAATCCTTTCGATATTTCACGTCTTTTGATGCATAATTCTCTCAAAGTAATTTACATTTACGATATATAGTAAGAAGAAGAAAAGAGAAGGAGGAAGAGATTGTGCTAAAATAATTGCAATTTGCACAAACAAAATAACTTTTCACAAAGTTTGGAGTTGGTATAGCATAATTTCAATATTTTGGTAGGAAAAGTCTTTTTTTCATACTTTCTTTGTATTTTCTATTTATTTATTTTTTTTTTGGAAAACAATAATTAATTGTGATGAATTCAATAATGGGGGAAGGAAAGTGAAGTGGGTTTCATGTGAAAGATAAACTTGTATAGTTGAAAAGCTTTACAAAGAGCTAATATAAGTGGTTTCCAAGCATGTACATGAGATTCTAAAGTAGCCTTCTTTAATAGAACACTTCTATTTTATGTATAACAAAACACACAAATTCAACTCCCTTAAATTATTAATACTTAAAAATAAAGATAAAGTGCCTTATTTTTTTCATCTATAATTGAATTTTCTTTTTAAAAATATGGAAAAGACCAACATAAGAATCTTGGAGGGATATGCAAAAAAACATATCATCATAAGGTATTTACGATGTTTATTTGGTTCAACGTAAGAGCGTCAAATGAGTGGATGAATTAAATTCAGATGAGTTAACAAAAACATACCATCGTACCATGTTGAGTATACAACATAAAATAATATAATCAAGTTTTTGTCTAATGTTTAGTATTGACTTTGCAAAAGTAAAATAAAGTTCAGGCGATTTTTATTCGTGCATTTGAATAAAAAGATAATAATTTATTCTTTGAATTTTAACAATTCAGCACGTAGATATACTCTAAGATTTGAAATATAAATTTCATATATCATAAAAATAAAAATAAACACTTGAATAATATTGAGTTTCTTTTGTTGAAAATATTTTAAGGAATTTGAACATAAATTTCAAAGATGATTTAATTCAGGTTTGAGATTATTTTCATTATATCTCTTGTATATCACATATATATTTATGTATATCCATGAGCATTTGTGTGAAATACACTAATATATATTTGATTGATGAATTTTCTAGCATTGTTAGGTTTTTCCACAAACCCCAAACCACACTCACTTAAAATGTGTTATTTCCCTTAGTTACCAATTAGACCAATAATAAAATATTGTAATTTATTATAAATAAAACATATCTTGTGTTTTGCTTTTTGGTGCATGAATTTTATTTAGAACAACTAAAGAATATGGCAGCACTTAAAGCAATTAGGAGTCGTTTGATAGAAGTGTATTAGTAAAAATAATGCACACATTCTATTGTGTATTAAGGTATGTATTGTTAACATCATGTATTTTAATGTATTAGTAAAGCAAGGTGTTTTTAATGTATGCAGTGTTAGCATGGTTAAAGATTTCATTGTCCTTCAAAATCTCTTTTACATTTTTTTCGGTCATAATCGTGAAGAGTATTTTTATACATATTTATTTTATGAAATGTATGTTATTTTTAATATATCAAATAAATTACGTCAAATAATTTATGTATAATTAATATAAATTTTATTAATATACTTTATTTAATATTATTTTTATACAATCTACTAAATAATATGCTACGAAATGAAATAGGTAGGATATTCATATTACTAGTGAGCAAAATTTAACACAAGTAAAATGTGATCCATTAGAGTGATATAATAAAGTAATTTGTCAAAGTTTTTTTTTGGTTTTCATCCGGTGTTAGGAGTCCACATTGGAACTCCAACTAAATTTGGATCACACACTGCAGGGCCCATTTAGGGGTGACGCTTCCAACTGGATTTTCTCCATACCCAGAGCTCGAATCCCAAATCTCTAGTTAAGGGTGAAACACTGCTACCAATGCACCACAACTCATGTTGATAATTTGTAAAAGTTGTTAACAAGTTGGAAGCATGCAAAATGATGTAAAGTTAAAGAGATGTTACTTTAACCATTAGAATTGGTGTCATATATTATATACTTTTCGAAAGTTAATTTAATTAATTTTTAAAAATAAATTAAATTATATTAATTTTTATATATTAATATGATATAAAATACATCATAAAATATTTATAAAAGTTTTATAATTTAACTTTAAAAAAAATTATGACAATTAAAAATAGACTAAAATAATACTTTATTAGAATCAGAGTATATCACTTTGACCAAACTTTAGTTACCATGACAAAGAGTTTAAATTAGTCACACTAATATTTTACAGTCATTATCTGAAATGCATTTGATAAAATAAACAATAATTAATTAGATGGAAAAAAAATTAAATATCTTCTATAACAAATTAAAAAAGAAAGTTTATTAAACTTATGCACCATCATTACCGCATGTTCAAAAAAAAAATTGACTCTATCTGTTATTTGACTATATGTTAAGTTTGGTTTAGTTGGGTCATTAACATTATTATCATAAAACTATGCTTGTGCTTATCCATTAAATATATGTTTTTATTATGAAGTTTAACGATAACAACAGTATATTCGTGTGATTTTACTTATTCCAATTTTATTTTTATTTACATAATGTTTCTGATATTGATTACTACAAAATTGTTATTGAAATTAAGGTTATATACATCTAGTCAATGTTGTATTATAGGTAATATTTTATATCTATCAAATTATTTTCTGAAGTTACAAATCACCTATTTTATATTGTTGTGATCATTGTAAGTAAATGTAATTGACGGGATGATGTAGTAGAACTCTGTAATTAACTCGTTTGTTAGTTAATCCTTGGACTTTTTACTTATTATTTTGCCAATCAACCCTTAAACTCATCGTAGCCAAATATAGAACTGTTCAAAATCGATAAGCCGAATCGATAAAATAGTTATTGGTTTATAATATTGGGTTATTGGTTTAGTGGTTTTGATAACGGTTTTAATTATTTTATTTTTTTGTTATCAGGTTATCGGTTCTTAAAGGTTTAAAGTTTTTTCTTAACGGGTTAACTGATAACCCGTAGTAAATTAAATAATTATATTTATATCATTTTGTATATAAAGTTCTCAACTTAGAGTTTAATTTTCTACTTTTATTTTTTATTATCTCAAACACTTGATTATTATACGACGTAAAAGTGTTTGTTTTTTAGCAAAATGTAACTTGTGAATTCAAATGCATGATTTATTTGGTTTGTCACCTTGTTTCTAAGTGATTTTTTATTATTTTTTTTTTATGTCAAATCTTAACGGTTAAACCAATAAACAAACCGATAACAATCAAAAACAGATAAACCAATAACCGATAACCCAATATCTTAATGATTCTATTACGGTTTAGCATCTCTACAAACCGATAACCAATAAGACAACCCGATAGACTTTAAAACCGAACCGACCGATACACAGCCCTAGCCAAATACGACAAAGTGATGAATAAGATAATTCAGGGGTGACGCTCCCAACATGATTTTCTCCATACCCAGAATTCGAACCTGAGATCTCTGATTAATAATTTTTTTAAAAAAAAAAACTTTTACTACAAAATTTAGTGAAACTATTTTAGAAAAAAAAATTAAAACAATAAGTGAATTTTACTTACTTCATTAGTATTTAGCAGGTAAGTAAAAAAAATATATATTATATCAAAAATATTTTTATACAATCAAACAAAAATTACAATAAACATAATGGGACGGTCATCAAATGAAAGTTGGACATGTTATTCCGGAAATAAAAAATGAACATAAAATATTACATTTGAAACTTATTTGTCTTTTTCCGTTAGAAATATCATATTTTAATTAACTAAATATGAGAAAATTTATTAAAAAAAAAAAAATTATCCCGCATTAATCTCATTCTAAATTATCCGTGTTATACCAAACACGTTCTTCTTTACCCTACATATATCATACATAATTCATTAAACATAAATTGTTTAAAAGAAATAAATATTGCTAATATAAAATTAAATCTAATTCTTTGTTATTCATTACACTAAAATAAAATGTAAAAAGAAAAAAGAAAAAATCTACAGTAATTTTTTTTGTAAACAGTACTCACACTAGACAGTGGTTGGTTGCAGTAATGTATTGTGATTCGGTAACTGAATCTGTTGGATCTGTAAACTTTTCAATGCACTACCACCAGATCTTCTCTTCCATAAACCGCCGTCCGTCGCCGGTACCGGATTCACCTTTTTCACCACCGGTAACGGCGGATCTAATTCATTAACATTCACTTCAACGATAACTTTACTTCTATCAGATTTCCGATCTCCGGGAGTAAAATTCTTACCGGAGAATAATTTCCTCAGCTTCATGTACTTTACTTTAGAATTTACAGGTCTAGTTATGGCGGTAGATGAAGTAGACTTGTACGGCGTCGGAAATCCAGTTACTCTGTTGTTTCGTTTGACTTGGCCTATACAGCTTACTTTTGGGGAAGTAGGTTCTGTGTGAGTTGAAGAATTCGCGGAAGAAGGAGGTTTTGAGTTTTGTAATTTTACGTCTTTGATTGAAAGTTTACAAAGCATTGGTAAGAAGAAAGCAGTGCTTCCATGGCGGATATGGTGATAAAGTTGTTGATGATGATGTTGACTGTATCCATTTTTCATATTATTGAGTTTTTTTTGTTCAATTTTGTTTATGAATTTCTGGTAATGAGAGAGATTTTGGGTGAAGAACTGAAGGGATGGTAATGGAGATTTGGAGAAGAAGAAGAAGAAATAGCTGAATTAATACTACTATTATTTTATTTTATTTTTATTTTATTGAATTGAATTAAATTAAATTAAATTATTTGTTTTGTTTCATTTATGAGTCAAACCTCATGACACAGGTCTCGAAGTAAATTTTTTTTTTTTTTTTACTTTTAAGGGCATATAAAATTTAAATATAGCAAGTGAAAGTAAATGGAGGGAATGATCTATTTTTTTGGTGAAAATTTATGAAAATATTATTTAAATATATAATTATTTTATTATATTCTCTCAAAAAGTTTATTATTTGAAAAAATTACAAAAATTTCTATACTTTACGCAATATATCACTTTACATGGATGTATTCACGATATATCGATTGGATACATCACTTTACGGTGTATCGAGAATTTACTCTACATTGATGTATTAGTCTAAAACATCACATTATGTGATGTGTCTAAAATTGAGATACGATGATATATTTAGATTTCACGAAATTTCAAAAAAAATTGTAATTTAAAAAAGAACAGGATTAAGATGTAATTAGATTTTAACATTATCCGAAATTTGTGTAAAACCTACTTCTTCTATTGTAAATCTGTATTCTAAATTTTTCTCCATTTAGTTTTATTTCAATTTTAAAAGAAGTGTTTGACTATGTTAATTAAGAAAACAGAAAAGAAAATTATTTTAACCAGAAATTAAAATATATCTGATAATTAAATATGTTAGACTTGTTTTGAATTATAAATAATTAAATATAAAGTGAAAATATTTTTTTATTATTTTTTTACAAAAAAATGAAAATAGGAAAATCAATAAATCTTGAATTTACATTCTGACGGCTCCCTTTTATTGGAGTGGGTGGAAAAATTTGTGCAGCTTAAACATGTTTTTGCTTTTTTAATAATTTCACAAAATTGAACGTGTCAATTTCCAATATTTAATCAATAAATATTTTAGTTCGACATTAAGTTCTCTTAAGTACTAAAAATTTGATTTGACTTATATTTATCGATATTTAATTAAATATTTATATTATCAATATAATCTATTTTCTTATTAAAAAATCGGTCCCCTTAATTTTGAGGTAATTTGTGATTTATGGCTGAATAATCACTTTTTTAAAGTGATATTACCCGTATATATATATATATAATGGGGAAAATACAAGCAAATTGCTTTCTAATACAACAAAATCCTAATATATATAGAGAGAGAGATTTTTCTTAGGCTACTTATAGAGAGTTTTAAGAAATAATTTTTTATACAGATATATTTTTTCATGAGAAGAAAGACTTTTCCTAATAGTCATATTATTTTTCAAAAAGATATATTTATTTAATTTAAGATCTCTATATATCACAAAATATTCAATAATTTATTCTATCGAATATTTAACGTTATTTGGTTTTTAAATGACTTGATCATAACATGAACTATTTATAACAACGACGGTAAGTTATATTAATGTCAACAATAAATTCAGTATAGTCTCACGAATAAAGTGTAGGATGAGAAAAGAGTTATTGATGTCAAAAACATCTATTTTATTATTGGCAAAATTTGGTACCAAGAATTTCAAAATTTTAATAAATAATTGTTAAACTTGAAGAGTTCTTTTTTGACACTATCTTAAAGACTATATGAAAATGAACATGTTTTCAAGTCTTTGTGAAAACATATTTTTTAGAAGTCATATATTGTTGCTAATATAATGTCTCTATTATATTGCAAGTCAAAAAGAAGTATTTTCCACTCTTATTTCACTTGGATTCTTCTGCATGTCCATTTCATACAAATTAACAAAATACTCCTCCATTTTCTATACGTGTTTATTATTCCCAATATATATTTGTGCATACCAAAGTAAAAAAACATAATATTTTATCTTATCATAATTACTTATTCTTCAAAATATGTCTCAAGAACTAAAAGAAATTTTATAAGTGGATCTGAAAAGAACAGAGTATATATATATTTTATCATTACATCCTGAAGATAGATAGGTTGTTTCTGAAAGACAATCTATTCAATTGCACCAAATTCATATCTATAAACAGAAGAAAACAATGAAGAAAACATAACAACTAATAAAAGAAGCGATGAAAAACCGATAAGAAATGAATATAAACAACAAAATAGTGCAATTACATAAACACAATAAATAAATGATGACAAATACCAATAGTTAGAACTAAAAGAAATAGGGATATTACAACGGCAAACATCACAAACTTGAATCCTCAAAAGTAACACGATACTTCACTATCTACTAGAATAAATATAAATAATTATTAAAAACTTATATTAATTATTATTTCACACAAAATTCATATACTAACAAGTAGGCGTTCGGTCATGCCATACCATATCACGATATGATATAGTGAGATAGAATCAACATTTGGACATGCGATTTCACGCTGATTCATTTCATGATTCCATATCATGAGATGTGATTCCATATTCTTCAAAAAGCATGATATGAAATTTTTATGGTGATTTCATATCATGATTTGAGATATTTTAATACAAAAATTGATCCACATGTTTATATTTTGTTAAAACAACCCCATATATATATCTACTACCATTGATTTCATATGTAAATAAAATATATAATCACATTATTACTTTTAAAAATTTATTATTCTCACAGACATAAAATTTATTATTCTCACCAACATAGTCACTTATAACTCACGCCAACCTATTGTTAAAGTGATGAAATATTTATGGTCTATAATCATGAAAATATAGTTGCGGATGATATTGACCAACAAATGACTCAAAGTAATAATGTTGGTTCGTCATCTCAGACACATGATCAAGAAAGTCATCAAGGAAATTGTTCGTACCATGTGGGAGGATTATATTAAAAACTAGTACACTTCATTTATGATCATTCATCTAATTAAATTAATGTTAGATGAAACAATTACTTAAGTGGAGAATAAATATCTTTGTAATAATTTATTATGCGATTTTATAGTTTTTTTATTTGATAAGATTGAATAAACAATTGGGGCTATTTTAATAATTTTACAACTTATGAGATTATTATATTTATGAGAAAATATACAACACAAAAATTTCATATCTCGTGTCTATATAAAACTTCATTTTCATCTATAATTCCATATCATGATACCATATCGCATGGAGGAACGAGACAAACAAAGAATACATGATATAGAATTTATTTTTTAAAAATAAAAGTATGTTTGTTTTATTAAACGGTTCCATTGGAAATTGAGTGAATTAAAGTAGGACCATGTTTGCATGCATAGAAGCTACTTATGTTTGTTTGTTTTTCCCTTTATAGAAAATAAAAGCAGAAGCCATTTAACAGAACTTTTATGAGTAAAAGAGAAAAAGTGACCCTTTTTTAATGTGGATAAAGTTAACAAGTAAAAATGATTTTGTCTCCAAGAATTACGTATCATTTTTATTAAATTGATACTCCAAGTACACTTTTTGAGTGAGCTAGGTGTTGGCAAAGCAGTACAAATTGAATTTCTTTAGTCAAAAAATTACATTATAAATAAAAATAATTTAAAAAGTTATTTATATCATATATAAATTGTAGAATCTATTGACATAAAAGAATATAATAGTGTAGTTCCAAAGATGTGTGGTACTAATTTGCGGTACAAAAAAAAAGTGGCTTTGTCAAGACAAGTTATAGTACAAACAAAATATGTTTACTTGTAAATATAAGGAAAATGTATCATTTTTGCAATAGTACATATTTATTTTTATTTCTTTAAATGTAATAAGTAAAATACAAAGCAAGGAAATTAGATTGTATAAATTACTTTTAAAATAATTAGGACAAAGACAAAAGAACTTTAGGGAAAATAGTATTTCAATAATTAATACTCCTTCCGTTCTATATTAGTTGATCATCTTATTAAAAATAGTTATCTACTTTTACTTAATCAAGAAAATATTAAATAATTGTTTCTTATTTATCATTTTATTCTCAAGTTATGGCATAAGAGTTTGATTTTCATTCTATAACATTTAATATATCAACTTATATCATTTCTTTAAATTAAAATATTGTAAATATTTATTCTAAATAGGACGAAAAATAAAATTAAAAAATGAATAATTAAAATTGGAAAATTTCCTTGAATGTAGTTACTGATATTAACTGATAACAAAATGTGCACCTTTTGAGAGATTTTAAAATATATTAATTATAGATATGCACCTTAATTATCTCAATCCGTTTTTAATGGTAATTATTTTTGATTTTTTATCCTTAAAAAATTGTATTCTGTTATCTTTCTTCCCATAAACGTATATCTTTTTTTTTTCAGAAATTGAACTATATTCATATATTCGAATTCTGTCATATTTTATCGTTTTTTTTTTTGGAAAAACAATTAAAATTGAAGGTTGAAAAAGTTTAGATTTGATTTGATGGAGAAAATTGTGTCAATTTTAATTAAACATGGTGGCAAATGGAATTCATCAGGTTAGTTTTTTTAAATATTTTATTAATGTGTCGTATTTTTTTCCCATGTTATATTGCATATGTTAAATTGCATGTTATATTGCATATGTTAAATTCCCATGTTATATTGCATATGTTCTGCTTTTTATAGCCTCAAGAATTTCAAAGATGCTTATGTCATTCCTGTCGAGCGTACATGGGATATACCAAGTTATATTTCAGATCCTAAATTGATGTCGCCTGGTCCAAAAAGAGCAGCAGAAAGACCCAAACTTGAACGGCGGAAGGGGTTCGCAGATGTGAAATTCAAGAAGACAAAAAGCACATGCAATAGATGCCATCAGGTTGGACACAATAGGAAAACTTGTTCAAATTATCTTGTACAAAAACAATGATGTCGTAATGTTAAATCTGTGTTTTTGAGGCATTACATTGTTATAAAATGTTTTTTTATTGAATAATATTACTTTTCATACAAATGTCATACATTGTATATACAACTGTTCATATATTGACATATGTTAACAATAATAATTCATATAATCATATAACATTTATTCAGTTATTGCATTCATAATGGGGACTACAT